TATTAATCGTGAGATGCAATTACGCTATTAAAAAATATACAGGGTGCAAACTAATTCGTATCCACTATTTATACAGTGATATTTCTCATGAAAAACTGAGTAGAAAGGTCCCGAGTCATTTTTTCGAATCGTGCTTCACAAAGTAGTTATTATTTATTAAACGTTAGTCAATCAGCATTGCTTTTTAAACGGACTCATGCTTGTGAGCCGCGTATCTACTAGTGTGCGCGAAGTAAGCCGCGCGCCTTAGTGGTGGTCCGTCATGCGTCCCTTTAAAAAGCGATACTGATTGACTAATCTTTACTTAAAACAACTACTTTATGAAACATAATGTGAAAAAATGGTTCGGAACTTTTCGACTCAGTTTGAGAAATACCACTGTATAATAGTGGGCGCGAACGAGTTTACACCCTGTATAGGGGAAGGTTGCCGTGCAAAATTGGACCGCTTTAGTTTTCCTTATATACGGTTTGAAATATATACATATTATACAGAGTGTTATGTAATACTTATCTTACCTCTTATTTATGGATAGAGCGGACTAGACTGTCCTCTACCATTTTGCAATTTTCGCAATAGTTAACAAGTTATTAATTATTAAAAATTGCTGTCTTAGCCCAGCCTGCCGCCCAATTTAAATGCGCGGTGAGATGCGGCCGTCCCGTAATCGGCGTTGTTAGGCGCGCGGGAAGTTGTTTATGACACACGGCAATGGCTACACCACAGCAATTTTTAATAATTAAGAACTCGTTAACTGTTGCAAAAATTGCAAAATGGTAGAAGACTTCTCGACTCACAATTAGTCTAGTCCGCTCTATTCATAAATAAGAGGTGAAGCAGGTATTACACAACACCCTGTATATTTTAAACAATTCAATAGCATTACTAGTTAGCGACATTGTTGTAAATATGTAACTAATAGTAAGTGGCTGGTGAGCGAGAACTATTTTACCAAACAGAAACGTTATTTTATGCTTATTAGGAATAACATAATTTTAAATACATATAATATTATATCTGCTAAAAGTGCATAAGATGTAGAATATTTTACAAACTATTTTGCTTTAATTAAATACTTAATAAAGGTATAGATTAAAATTCCGGCATAAAAAACTCAAAACCGGTTCAATAAAGGCAACCTTTCCCTATTAGTATTTAAATAATTCAATTATTAGTAATTAATTTAATTAATTCTCAGTCAAAAAGAAAACGTCTCAGTTGTAGGTCATATTGGTATGCGTTTTCGTTAAAAAACAAGAAAATATTGCAGATATTACTTTATCGAAGTATCACACCGTGCATGTTAACTGCCGGTAAAATATACGTGATGTCGATGGCCAATTATAGTACGGTAAGCACCATTGTGCAATACAAATGATATTATCTTTATAAATGACGCGTATAATATCAAATATCCTTGCTTGTAAGTTGTATTGTACTAAAAGAATGATGTTCTTATTTAAGATGTTGCGGACCGCTATGTCTTACTTTATGACATTCTCTTCTCTGAAATAACAAATTTTCTGTAATCAAACATCTTTTGTAGTTCCATCTTAAAAATAAATAAATTCCCAATAAATACTGAACATTATATGTACGTAATGCATAAAAAAATATTTTATAATATTCATAACTGGGGTGTTGAATTACTAAAGACCGAGTTGATGCATTTTTGCACGAGGAATAGTTGTTAAAAATCCATTAAGGGCGGATTCTCATGTAACCAGCTAAAAGAGAACAGATTTTTTTAAGTGATTCCAGGGCTATATAGTAAGCCTTCTGCGTCCTGTTGTTACTGCAATTAATCTCCTTTCGAGCAGCTCGAGCTTCTTTCGAACTGCTAAGGCTTTGCTGCTTTTGTCGCTGTATCAGCGCGACATCATAAAAGTCTGCGTACTCTTTACAGTGGAAACCGATTTTTAAATGTAATGTGTCCATAATTTAAAAAATGGCGAAATAGCCTTCGTTAAATAATCCTGTAGCAATATATGCAGCTATTTCTATTGTTTGGATGCTACTATATTTTCAGAGCCAAATGCCAAACGCACGAGTTGAAGCTCTCGTTCGCATTATGTGTGTGCCCGACTAAACATTTTTGCAGAAGCTCGCAAATCTTTGTTTAAAGGCAATAAATGTTTTTGAAGATCTGCATGGAGTGGGATGATCAAAAGTAGCTCTGGTGGTTTTAGCTACACGTAATTTGCATCAGTTCTGTACGCCTGGCGAACAATTCTCGTGCATCGGATTTTTATTTGTCGAGTACAAATGTTTATATAGTGCCGTTATTTCTTTTTTCATATCATCGACGGAATCAACATTATAAGACGGAAATCTTTCCCCTTTTATTAGAAGTTTTAATTAATTTTTAATGAATTATCTTGTTTAAAGACACTATTCGATCTGCACGTTGAGAATAATGCACTGCAACCTGTTATTCGTATAGCACTTTCATTAAAGTCGTAATGTAGATCGCACTGGTACACATATATTACCATTAAAAACCAGGAATTAGCTTAATCGAGCTGCATTGTCATTAGTCATTTAAAATATGTGTCCATGGCCATAATTATTTGTATTTTCATACATTTTCACACAAATTATCTCGCACTTATCCGAGATCACTGTTTCTTCCTATTAAAGAAATTATAATTTAATTTCGCAACAAAAACAATTTGTAATTTCTATACATACAAGACCGTAGTCTGGTTGCAAATTACAATGTAGTATGCATCGTCTTCGATATCGATCGATTTAATATTAATACTTAATATCTCGCACGATTCGTTTGACAATCCGGCATTATCAAGTTGACAATCCGATATTACCGTAATCATATATTGTTCTGCTTGTTCACATCACTTTTCCCTCGTGTCGCGCATTTAAAAAGGGAGCTGACCCGCGATGGTACATATGTACAATAACCGGCGTACGATATGAATCCGGAAATAGAAAAATACTACGCCATCAACATATTATTTTTGTCACGAATCGGTGGTTGGCCATATCAGCGTAAAATAATAAAAATATTGGTACCATGTCTTTTAACAATAATGCTGTATTCTAACGTTACATCTCAGGTAATATATCGCATTAATTATATAGTGCAAAAGTATATCAGTGAATGATCGGCTGATAAGTATTGTGTAATAGAATTCAAGTTTTTTTTAATAATAAAAATATATTTATTACATACTCGCGCTTTAATACTGTCAACATAATCATTGACTTTTACAGGTATTTCTATTATACGACACTTGGGGTGATATAGACATCGCTGTTGAATGTACAATTGGTCTTACTCTTCTTTTTGGCTGTAACGTAAAGTTATTTAATATCATTTTAAATAATGACAAAGTAAGTTGTCAAAATGATCGATCGATAATGTGTATTTGCTGCGACTTTATTACTGTATTTGTTTATGACTTTATTACTACTTTTTGCGTTGCTGGTTAGTTTCGACAATTGTTGCAACTTATGAACGAACACTGGGAGCTTTTTAATAATGAATACGAACGTTATATCTTGAGATATTATGCTAGTATCGGCCAAAAAGTAACAAATTATTTTGCAGGTACCGACATAATTAATTTTTAAATATTTAAGAAGTTAAATTATCGACTACTGTAAATTCAAGAATGTTATATTTAATTTTTCTAGTTTAAACAAGGAAACCTCTTTTCAATTTTAGAAATAATTTTTTTAAGTTCAAAATTCCACGTATATTATCACGTTTTCACAAAATTTTATTGAATTATAAAATACTTATTAAAAAAAAAGCATTTTTTGTGTTTCATAGAAGTAATAAACAGTAGTAATGTATATTACTTTTTCCAGTGTATTTTATTATAAGCTTGATAATTTATTTGCTAATTCCATTGGTACCAAGAATTTTGGATATCGTAATTCCGCTGAACGAGTCGCGACCATTGGCATACATTTATCAGGCTGAATACAGAGTGGACAAAGAGAAATATTACTATCCAATCATATTGCATTCTTACATTTCGACTATACTTATAATAGTAATTCTGTTCGCTATTGATACCACATATATAGTGTGTGTATTGCATACTTGTAGTCTATTTACAGCTATCAGGCGAGTAAAATTAAAACCAAGATCGTATTCTTCCTATGTCTTTTACAAAACTATTTCTAAGAGAGAATTTATTTATTGTTGAATGAATAAACTTGGAGAATACATTGGTGCAAAAAGTTTACAACGTTTCATTTCGTAGCCAGCGTATTGAAAATATTATTGGCGAGGCAGACATTAAGTCAGACAATAACGAAAAAATACATACAAAGACGCATTACCATCTAGAAATTTTTATCACGGAAAATCACGGTTCTACCGACAATGATTATTGTGAATTAATGATGTGCTTGAAAAAACATCAACTTGCAATAGAGTCTGTATCATATAAATTTCTGTCGTCCACATAATAATAATAGCTATAGCAAATTTAGTGAACCTTCTGATCTATATACTCAATACTTATTCAACCATTTAAGTACATTGAATCATTTTATCTCCTTTCTAGACACGCTCAAATGCTAGACTCCATGTTCACTCACGCGACATTCATTCTTCTATTTCTGAATGTGCTGCTTTTGAGTGTGATGGGAATAGAAGTAAGTATTTAAGAAGCACATGTGTATGTATTATTTGTTGATAAAATATTTAAATTTTGCAGCTTATCAATGACGTGGGACATACTGAAGAACTAATAAGACATATTTTTGTAACTTTTGTTGTCTTTACTCAACTTGTATGTATGTGTATTCCTGGACAATTGCTGATAGACCAAAGCACCGAAATTTTCAACAAAGCGTAAGGACTTTTGTTTAATTCTTTCCCTTAGATGTGAGCAAATAAGATTTTTAAGATCTATTTAATTTTTATGATCTTCTTTTAATATTTCTTCCATTTCTTTGAAATGTTTTCAAAAATTTTTTCAAGACAAGTTTTACAAGAAATGTACATTGATTTTATATGTACAAATGTTTTTCTGTTAGTTGTGAGGTTTATCATTCATAGCATCAATTAATGTTTAATCGTTAATTAATAATAATTAATTTAAGATTCAAGTTAAGATTTAAAAGTTAACTGTGATATGCAAAAGAGATTTTCCGAAACAACAAATTTCTAAATGCCATTATACTCGTTGTTTCTTTCTAACATATAATGCAAATTTATCACTTTTTATGTAATTTATGTAATTAGGAGTGACTTGTATTGTCGATGCAAACTAACTCTTGCAATAAATTTTGCTTATTAGATGCAGTTCGAGATGGTATTCATTTTCCATAAAAACTAGAAGATTATTAAGAATACTTCTTTACAGAAGTCTTGTTCCGTGTACACTCACGGCTGGAAAGATGTTCGTTATGTCCATGACTATGTGTAGTTCGGTACGTCTTTGCATATATTAAAAAATATCTTTTATAATTTTACGTAACACATATTTACATATTGTAATAGATTAATATTCAATTTTAAGGTGTTGCAAACTGCCGTATCATATTTCACGGCCATTTTATCTATAAAATAAGGAAAATGTTGCAATGACGTATATCTTCAAAAAGTTATCGTATTTAGAAAAGTCATTAGCAGTCGTTGTGTTTTATTAAAGACAATTGTAATCGTCATAATAAAGTAACATATTTGACGTAAAAAAATATGAATATACAGGTTATAAACTAATTCGCGACCACTATTTATACAGTGATATTCTTCATTAAAAACTAACAATAAGTCAAAAAGTCCTACGTTATTTTTTTGCATCATACTTCATAAAGTTATTATTAGTAAAGATTAGTCAATCAGCATCGCTTTTTAAACGGACGTCGACGGACCACTGTTAAGCCCATATCAGACTACGGATTGAGATAGAGATTAAACTGAAATTTGACCAATCAGAGTAAAGTTTACTAATCTCAAGTTTAGTGACTTTTACTCTAATTGGTCAAATTTCAATCTAATCTCAATCCTAAGTCTGATACGGGCTTCATGGCGTGTGGCTTACGTCACGCACGCTAGTAGATGCACGGCTCACGAATGTGCGTTCGTTTAAAAAGCGATGCTGATTGGCTAATTTTTACTTAGTAATAACTACTTTGTGAAGCATGATTTCAAAAAATGGCTCGGGATTTTTCAAACTCAGTTTTTCATAAGGAATGTCACTGAATAAACAGTGGACGCGAATTAGTTTATACCTTGTAGGTACTTTTTGTCTGACGTTTCGTGAAAAAATTGAAAAAAGATTTTAACATAAAAAATTATAACAATATTTAGATATTGCGGATATATTTATTGATGCGCATAAATAACTAATATTTTTTTACTTTCTAGAAATCTAAAAGATCCTTAATTTTAATGTATCTTATTTTTTGTATTATGTAATGTATTAATTTTTTCCTTATGCACTCGAAAATTCATAACAAGTTGTTACGATGCAAGTCGGTATTTTTCATGGCTTGATTAAATAACTATCTTTCACTATAAAAATGTAACGTTTTCAATCGTTTCCAATTCGCAATTATTGTAATAATGTATTGTTTTTAGTCTTGTTAATTGAGCTATTTTCCTACAAAAACATTTTTTTTAAGGATGAGACACAACCGTTTTCACTTAACAATTACATATACGTGATATACATCTATAGGGTGTTATGCAATGACCGAATCAGCCGGAAAACTTAAACAGAGCGAGGCAAACTGAATCAAAAAGTTCTATATCACTTTACAAAGTTCACAATAGTTTTCGAATAATAAATAAAAACGTCTGGGCAAATAAACCCCCGAGATGCAGTAGGTCGGAGTGCTCTCATTTGGCGCTATTGAACCGCATCGCGCCCAACGCCAGCGACGCCTACGCCTATGGCAAATACAGTCCGTCTAGTAACAAAGAGATGCAACTCATACCTTACACACTAATTGTTTCTAAATATTTGTACTAAACGCATCAAGGCATTTTCAATTCTGTGAAGCCAATTCGAAGAAAGGACTTCGAACCTGTAAGTCGATAATTGTTGTCTAGCAGCCCCTTAACTCACAAAAATAATTTGTAATGTGTCTACATACGATATGACCAAAATCTTGTTGTCAATACAACATAGTAGGGAACGTTCTCGATATTGATCAATTTAATATAAATTCCTTGCCCGACCCGTTTGACAATCCGGCATTATCAAGCTGACAATCCGGTATTACTGTAATGACATGTTCTGTATGTTCACTTTACTTTTTCTTCGTGTCGTGCATTTGACAAAAGGAGTTGACTCGCGATGGCACATATGTACAATTCCCGCGTACGATATGAATTCAGAAATGGAAGAATTACTATGCCATCAACAAATTATTTTTACCGCTTTTTTTTGGAGTAAACGTATTTTCAGTAAAGAGAAAATAAATATTTTGTAGATATTCCTCGAACATTTGGTGGGAATGCTGTCATAAAGTGCAAATTAGCCCTTGAGAAAATTTACTTTAAATGAAATTAAAGTTTTTAAAAGTAATCTTTCAAATCTAACAATAAGAGTTTACTTAAAGAAGTTAAAATTTGACTTGAGAAATTTTAAAATAATTTTGGACACTTAAAGTCAGTTTTAAATACCCAAGCCTATCGGAGTTTCCGCTAGAGAATCGCGCGGCATAGCACCTTCTTGTAAAAAGAAAACCGCAAGTGATATTTAAATTATATATCACATATCTTCCACAATTCTTAAAGTTTCTTTTAAATTCTTAAAGTAAGTTTTAAGTTTGCCTTAAATAAAAGTTTAAAGTGTCCAAATTTAATTTTTATATTTCTGATTTTTTTAAAACACAATTTTAAGATTTTCTACGGTATATTTTCCCAAGGGAGCACTCGGCTGTGTTCTGACATACCCTACTAAAATTCTAAAGTATATCCTAGCGAAAAATAATATGTCAGAAAACGACTATCAACACAACTCTTACAATTAGACGTATATTCCATGTAATATTTTTTAAAATATTATAAAGACGTGTTTGGTAGAAATATAAGACGAAAGTGTCAGAGCCAGAGAATTCATCATTAGCCCAATGACTGTGATTGAGACTCTGTTTGCACAGGGTAGAATCAGCGGTCACCCATCCAAGTTACAACCACGCTCAACGTTGCTTTACTCCGTTGATCGGGCTAGTGGAAATCCTCTGACTCTGACACTTTCATCTTACTCAAAGGACTAACAACATTTTCACGAGTATATACTCGTGAAAATGTTGTTAGTCCTTTGATAATCTCAAATCCAGAATTTGTTTACGAAGAAATTTTTTCAGAAATATTTTGACAGTTTCCATTTTTTGTAAATATTTTATAAATATTGTGTGTTGTCTAGGTTAGATATCCTGTGGATATTTTGGGGATTAATTTTACTAAATACATATAATTACATCTTAATAATATCCATTTTTTTAGATTTTACAAAGATTGTATTGTACAAGCGGAAATTTAAACTTTCTCAGTATATCCTAAACATATTCTCAGGTTCTACACAGGTAATTAAATCCTATCGTACACAGATAAACCTATACAGGGTAACAAAATTTGAGGTCTCCATTAAAAATTTTAAAGTTTACCTTGAGAGCTCTTCCATAGTTGTGCTATAGGGGTCTTTTTATAATCACACTCGTGAGATGGTAGAGCGGATCGAGATGAACAGGAAAGTTCTGTACCATGGCATTTTGCAATTTTCGCAATAGTTGACGAGTAATTATAATAATGATTAAAAATCGTTGTTTTAGCCGGACCTACACCGCTCAATTCGAGCGTGTGGTAAGACGTGACGGCCGGGCGATCAATAGGTATTGCCAGGAAAGTTGTTTATTGCAATCGGTAATGGCTACAGCGCGTAACACTGGACCCCCGTTCCGAGCTATAACAATTTCTCAGCCTTTTTTTTAATGAAAATGAAATTCGGTATAAAAATATTTCTGCGTATGTATGTATGTATGTATGTTACATGATATAGAAAAATACGGCGCGAGGCGCGGGGTGGACAGCGTGCTGTTGCCCGCTAACTTATGGCCGTATCACACTAGCGGTTTGCGTTGGCGTTGGTCGCTGCGTTTGCCGTTGCCGTTGCTATTGGACCAATAGGTGCCCGGCTGTTCTGAAACCGCGAGCGGCTATCGCCAACCGCTATTCTCAGAATGGTCGAGACGCAGCAGCCAACGGCAACGCCAACGCGAACCGCTAGTGTGATACGGCCGCACCGCGCCCATGCGCCTAGCAATATTGATCGCGGGGTGGCCACGTCTCGTCACGCGCTCGAATTGGGCGGTGGGCCGATCTAAGACGACGATTTTTAATAATTAATTACTCGTTAACTATTGCGAAAATTGCAAACTGGTACAGGACTTTTCTATTCATCTTGATCCGTTCTCACGAGCGTTGTAAAAAGAGTTGTGACTCACCCATATCTTGATCTTTGTATATTTCGTGTCATTAAAATATTTTTAGTGCAAATATGTCAGAAATCTAACATGTAATGCTTTTTTTAACATAATGAAAAAATCATGCATCGGGTATTGCATGACAATGCTGTTAATGCATGAAAAGCAAGGCGATATGTAAGTATCGTGGATCTAGCAGTTGGTAGTATTGTAATATTAGATTTTAATAATAATATAATTTTTTTAGTATTTATAGATATATGATTGACAAATAAGTATGTAATATATTTACACGCATTAGCTTGTTATATTTACTTCTATCGTAAAATAATCTAAGAGATTATAATAATCTTATCTTTGTACTTACATTATTGTAATTACATTTTAATATTGTTTTATGTCATAGAGATATGTTCTCAGATAGCCAAACCTGTCAAAACAGATTTCGTCGAGTGCCCACTACAGATTTTGAAGGCAGAAAGACTGCAGATTGCACACAGGAACTAATATATTCGATAATGTTGCCAGCATGTCAGCAGAAATACAATAAACTCTGCTCACATAACTGAACAATAGATTGTCGGCAGAAATCGAGCAGAGCTTGCTGATATGAGCTGACGGCAGATTAATGGCAAAAATCTAGGAAAATCTGTTGATATAATTTGTCGGCAGATTGGTAGTAAACTCTGTTGCTTGTTGGCGGTTTATATTGCAACGATCTCGATAGATGGATACGCGGCATGACACTTTCTCTCGTAAGAAGAAAACCACACTCAGTATTATAAATTAACACATTCACATGAGATTCATCTTTCTGATACCGAAGTGAACTCTCTTGTCTACGAGTGTGTAGAAACCTTATAGGACTACTTGTTGGTTTTATGCAACTTTGTGATGAAAGGAACAAAGACGGAAGAAAGAAATAGAAATGGCGATTCTGCACAGTTTCTACTGCCAATCTGATGTCAAATTGCGCATGCAGATCCTGCTCGATTTCTGTCAATAATCTGTTGACGGCATATGTTTTTATACAGACTCTTTTGCCAACACAAAAGCCAAATGCAGACACAGATGGCTATAGTCTTGGCATGGGTTTCTGATCGAATCTGCTGCCAATCTGATGCCAATCTGCTAACATTTTGCTGACTTTCTCTTTTCAAAACAAACATCCATCACTATGTATAAATAGATCTACCGAAAATTAAATTATGACTATTAATTACTTTAAGTTAACGATAATCTTTTTCTATTTCGTATAATTGACGTATTTTGAGACATTGTGGTGTGCGACATATATAACTATTCTGTCGTCTGTTTTACAAAACCGCAAGTGCTACGCAAAACGTAAGCGTTACCGCAGTATAACTTTACACTGCAATATCGATGACAAGCGAAATTAAAATTGTAAGACTTCTCGCATATTGTCCGGTTGTAGAAGGCGTTTCCCCTTATTACTGATTCTATTTCTATCGGCACGTTATAACGTATATTTCTTGGCCAACGTATTGAAACCCCAAGAGAATGTCGAATGAATATCGTGCAGTTGACGGAAGTTCTACTTTGAGTTGTTCAAGAATTCTGCTTCAACACAGAGTAGCCAATGGACATCTATGATACCCGATATTTTCGAGTTAACAAGCTGCTACTGTCGTGTCTTGGCTTGTGGCCGATACAGTCGCCGTTACAAAAAAATACATTTTACTATTGTGCAATACTTGGTATACTTATTATACTCTTGCCGCAGGTACCGTGCTAATTATTATACACGGAGAAAGTCGTAATTTGAATCAATTAGAATTTACATGTGATTCTTATAAAATTGTCAGCGATTTTGGTGTTGTTTGAATTATTTTGTATACACTTGCGAGGAGAGTTGCCAAATGCATATCAGTCATGTAATGCAACTAACAACATTTTAGGTATAACTAATATTAATTGTTCATCAATTTATACAGGATGCGGAGAAAGTCCCGGACCGGTAAAATATCTTGAAAACGGGACGGTTTTAGAAAAAAAAAGTTTCATACAAAGCTTCTAGAGTTTTAACAAATGCATCAAATGGTAATAATTCTTTGACCTTGAGCACAACTATGGAAGAGCTCTCAAGGTAAATTTTAAAATTTTAAATAAAGACCTCAAATTTTTATTCAATACTTTTAAAGCAGATATTGAGTACTTCTCGAGTGATATTATTACTTAATATAAGCAACATTAAGTAATAACAATATGAAATTAATAAAAAATCAGTAATATAGACAAAAAATTAACATGATACATTTTATTTTGTAAATGCTAACAATATTTTAAAAATTCAGGTATAATTCATGTTAATTTTTGATCAATTTATATAGCTGATTATAATGTAACTATGCCATTTTATTATAAATTTTTATTTTTTCATAAAAGAAGGTTTAACGTAGAATATTTTACATTTATTGCATATACACTTATTATAAGAATTAAATAAATATTTTAATCAAATCTACCAAGTTTCCTAAATTGTACCACCACAAGGTTTCCTATCTCGTACCGGTACAATTTTATAAACAATGAGACACAATTAATATAAATATAAATGTAAATTGCAAGAATAACTTTAAGGTAAATGTATTATAACGTCCTTTCCATTATCGTTAATTATTATTTTTAATTTATTAAATGTTTTACTTTTTCAGATAAATTTTTAACAAAATAAGTATTAGTTAATACTTTCTTATATCAATCTTATACTAGTTACTCGACTTTTTATTATTTTCACTCATAAATCTGACTATTTCAAGGAGGTACGATTTAGGCAACCGGTTTCATAAATCGTACCTTTTGCAACATGTTACATAAAGACTTATAACAAATTAATTTGTTATTAAAGAACCGTTAAATATGTAATAATAGATGCCTGAAACATCAAACTACAATTTCCAACGGTTGTTTGTGCACAAATCAGTACTAAATGGGATATATAATAAATAATACCTTAAGTGGTACGCATTCGGCAACTCTCCCCTACGTATTCGCAGCCCTTCCCTACATCAAGTCATGTATTAATTACGATTTCAATAGATCGCATTTTTATTCAATTGTGTGAGAGGTTTGGACGATGTTTACGATGTTTTGCCACTTTTTATTGGCGCATGGTTGTGCTTGTTGAAATTAACTGGTCTCCACTGGCATACGGAAAAGGTAAGCGTGTAAAATGCGCCGCAATACAAAAAGTTAATTTTCGTCGTCCAGTTTAGGGTGTTGATTGAGCATGTGCGTTACGATTGGTATTTATTGGCGAAACATCGTGATATGAGGATTTTAATAGAATATGTCGAGGCGAGTCGGATATTCACACTGGGTTATTTAAGTACGCCTAACAATAAGTATACCGTACGTTTGATCCCCTGTATAATTATACAAAGAGAGACCATTCCTTTTTACCAGTTTTTACAAGCACGAGTACAACATGTATGGTGACGACGCCATTCACTATGCCATTACTCGATATCATACTGGCGTCAAACGTAACGAGACCGAAGCAAATGCCACATCCGACCGAATTTTTCTTTGATGTGGAAAAATATTTCTATATTCTTCTGGCAATTACGTTTGTAGGATACGCTGTGTGTGCTACAATAGTGATTGCAATCGATTCCATCTATTTCGCGCTGCTGCAACATGCCTGTGGTACACTGGCTATACTGAGGTACTCTACTTTTGATTTAACTAGGTTTTTATAGAAAATATTTCTTCTATGTACGTATATGATTATCTACTTGTAGTGGCCGTTTAAAAAAACTAGCTGTAAACGATAATTCGAAATTTATGGATCACAATTCAGTATCTAAAGAAGAGAGCGATGTTAAGAACTTGGTACAATGTATACAGTTGCAAATCAGAGTAGAAAGGTTTATATAAATTGAATAAATTATTAAGTCTACTAGAAAATATTATAGATATATTTTGTATCTGTTTGTTGGCAATAGACTAATCCACTTAATTGAATCGACGTTTGCGATATGTCTTTTTACCGATATTGGGGTGGGAATTCTACTTCAATGTTCTGCATGTGTGATGGTGCGTTCATAAACTCTAAATATACAGTTAATATTTATTTAATAAATTGTTGATTCGTCGTTACATTTGCAAAATATTCTTTTCTAT